ATTCTGAAAGGCAGATAAGAGACAGTATATATATATATATATATAATGTGTCTGGGACTTGGCTGGTATTTTCTAGAATAGCTGACAAAGCAATGTTTTTCTGTACTGTTGCCTTAAGGAGTAGAGATGAGGGCACAAGCAAATAAAAGCATGCAGTTTGTAGCTTAGCTTCACTATTTTCATCAGGCACTTCTGCACAGAACACCATAATGAACTTGTACTTAAGTAATGGCTTTTCAGGCTAGCAGCTTCTATTGGGTAAGGACAGGCCTGTGATACGATCACTTGTGATTGCCATTTCCCCCCTCTCTAGACCCTACCACCTATAGCAAGCCCAGACAAGACTTAAGCAACTGTTTTGCTGATTAAGGATACCAATTAAACTCGGACACCAGCATGGAAAGAGTAGGCATATTTTACTGGTGATAACCAAATAATACAGAAGACATGCAGTAAGAAAAGACAGAATAATGCACTTAAAACAAACAAATAGGAAAATAGAGGATAATGTATGAAATCATTACTACATGAGAGAGATAATAGTGATTAAGAAAGATCCCTCACCACTTGCATACGTTACCATCATCCAGATCCGCAGTTGCTGGGAGTCCCAGTTACAGCGAGGATTTGGAGAGCCTGTCCTGGCAAGTGGGAAGTCCTGCACAGCACCTCCACCCATAGGTGAGGCTTCCAAAGTCACTGTGAGCAGGTCCAGCCTTATACCCCAAAATCACCAATCCAGAATAACTTGTACCTTTTTTTTGAGTGGAAACATCTGGTTTCATCTTCCTGTTGGATTCCACCCAGAGCCTGGCCAGGGCTTGGGGGGCAGACCAAGGGAGTTTCTAACAAGGCCGAACACTTGGGTTCTCAGCCTTGAACAAGGCTAAACAAGGAAAGTTGGATACATTCTCTCTGCATTTCATCCTCGCTACTGATTATATTCTGTCTAAGCTGCATCTTTCACTAGTAAGCATACACACTTTGCTAATGACTACATACTAAGGTAGCAGCTTTGGCTCAGGGCCTGTTCAGGCTTCAACCCTTAGCACTTTTTACATCAGCATAGGTGGTTTGTTATAGCCTAGCACAATACCTACCAGCATAATAGTTATCAGTAATAAAATACACAGAATTCATCTATAGGTCAACTCTGACTGGGGCCTGTTGTCCAAACCTTAGCACTTCAGCAACATGCTATATAGCAAAAATGCTTACGTCTGCTCTGTGGCAACACTACAGTAGCTGCTGTCAAATTGGAACAAGTGTGCTTTAAGCTGCCTTTATCCCTAGAAGCAAGCACAGACTGCTTGCATGAAAAAGATTAATCATTTTCATTCACCTAATTGTGTCAGGTTTGGAGAAGTCCACCCAAAAAAAATGCCTTGTTACAGTATGGTTAATGATCACTTTGAGGCATGTTTATGATAACTTTGAGGCGTGTTCTTGTAACTGACAAATTTGTAGTGTAATATGAAAAAATTGCGTGTGAGGGACAGAGGGATGTGTGTGTCTCCAGTCTGGCCACATGCATGTTCTAACAAGTGGTCTCAACCCAAAGGTTCCAGGCAGTTTTGCATTTCTGCCTAAACCAGTTAGAGCATCACTTAACCTTGCGTGTGATAATGATTTGGATTTAAAAGAACTGAGACTCTTCATATATAAATGGCATTTGCTCTTGCAAGCACACACTTACCAGATGATGCAGAAGCCCTTACTTCAAAACAAAGTTTAGCATGTGATGTTACTATAGTTACTGTAAATAATAGTCCAGGGCAGCAAAAGCATCTTTGTATGTTGTTAGATGAATAGTGGTTTTCTGCAAATTCATGTACCAAAAGAAGCCTCTTATCTCCTTGCTCTAAAGAAAGAGAAAGCCTTCTAGCAAATTCCATTTTATATCTTATTCTCACATCCAGCAAGGGAGATGAAGAAGCAACTACTTCTAAAGAAGCAATTGAATGTACTATAGTGCTGTTCCAAAGAGGTTCCATATTATCCCTTGCAAACTGCAGAAATGAAATCTCTGCCATAACTCTAATGAGATGTATTTAGACCTTATGCTCTAATTTACACTTTTTATGTCAGCACACCAATTTGTTGCCATGGGACTGGCCTTCAGCCAAAAATAATTTGCTTTCTGGAAATGCATATGTGGATTTTGTTCATCTGCTTTTTGCCTGACTCCAGCTAATTTGTTACAGATGACACATGAAACGATTGCATCTCCCTGCTACCTTGAACAGCCAACTCAATGACAGCATAACTTAAAATCTTGCTAAATGAGTGACTCCTTCCTCACTTCATTCATCAGAGATTGCACGGAACTGACTGCTCTTGAACCAAATAAAAAGCTTCCTACATCCAACAGCATTCTAGAGCACTCTTGACTTGGCATTTTCCAGGATTTCTCTGCTGAAGGTCATCTTTTGGAATCATTCTAGGTTCGGATAATTAATCCTAAATTAATCCTTCCTTCGAGCCACTATGAAAACCTTCTTAAACCTTCCTGTCTTCTGTCCATAGAGCCCACAGAGAGACTGGAAGCCCTCTCAGCTTTATGTACTGCTTTATTAACTTGGCTTCTTTCCAAAATAAGGGTTATTTTTAATATGGATCTGTGTTGGGATCTAGCTATCAGCTGAACCCCACAAGCAATTATTTCAGTAAACTTCTTTAGCCAGCACTAATACTTACCTAAATTCACAGAACACTTACAGTCCTCTCTGAGTGCTGGAGGGAGAGCAATTGAATTCATCTTTCCCTACAAATTCATCCACATTTTGCTATTGACAGATTCTTCTCAGAAAAAAGAACATGAAACAAAGTGAAATTTTACCTTCAAGATAAAACCATCTCATACAGGGAAATGGGACTAAGGTCACACAGGTAACAATGTTTCATAGAAAAAAGCCTTTACACAAATCTATTGTAGTGCTATTTTTGCTTTTTAAAATGGTATTTAAAAATGATTTAAGCTATAGCCTAAGGTGAGAGAGAAAACACCTTTGCAAACACAACTCTGAAGGAGAGAGCCAGGCATAAATACCCTGAGAACATTAGTCATAGAGAGGGCTCATAAAAACAGCCTTAAGGAGAACAGGCATTTACTGATTGTTTC